TGACACTTTTTATATGTCACTACATGTAACATTTCTTGTAGTGCTAACCTATTTATTATTTTATTTTTAAATTAAAATGGTAAGCTATTACGGAAAAACAATAAATTAACTTAACATGTGTGAACTTGTAATTAGGCCTAGAACATGCTATATATATATATATATATATATATATATATATATATATATCACCATCCCTTTATTTGGAAATTTTAATTTTCGATTTGAAAGGCTTTTAATTAAATTTATGTTCTATTTTTTTTATATTTATCTTGAAACAACCGATATAATAATTATGCCCATAATTTGAAATGCAAAATCAGATCAATATTTTATTAGGTTATAATTATATGTTATTATTTATACATTTCTAAATATAATTATCATGTAGTAATATCTTAAGCTTTACAATTATTGGATGGAAACACAATTTTTTTTTCTTTTGTAACTAAAAAACAACACATTATAAATTAATGATATATTAATAACATTTTAAATTGATTAAAAAATAAATTCATGCATCGCAGATATTATCAATCTAGTATATTTAAAATAAACTAACTCCATATAAAATCTTTGGACAATTTTATTAAATGGCCCTTGGATTGGCCGCAATCCACTTGTAACACTGTCCAGACCAAATAAGAGAAGCTGCATTGGAGATAAAATATGACCACGGGTTTCACTCTCTAATTTTGAGAGAATGAACAAGTGTAACTTTTGCTTTGCATACTATTGTTTCTCTTCTTAAGATTTTCTTTGGTTTTTATCCTATGTATCAACACCTTCCATGCAAAAGCCACAAAGTTTGATGGGACAAGGATGCTCCAAAAAAAAACAAAAGTAGTATCATCTTCTCTAGTGATGGCTGCAAAACAGTATACACAAGTAATCACCTTTGTTGATTTGTTTCTACATTATTCTATCCTCATATCATTGATAAAAACATTGTATTGATTTCCTGCATATTCTATGCATTTTTCCCCACTCAAATCACACCCTTCTCCACCTTAATGGCTTAATTCCCAAACTCAAACTCCCTCCCACCTTTCCATTTTTTGCTCGCAAGGTATGTCCTCAAATTTTACTCATTATTTTTTAATCTTTTATGATTTTAACAATATGTGATGAAGTTCTTGAAAGTACTTAATTAATCATTGATCATCAAACTTGGTTTTGTATTTATTTTTTGATCGAGGATTTTTACTGGATTTATGTGGTGGCAATAATAGATGAATTGGAAGCATTATGGATTTGGTTTGTTGAATTCTTTATAGGACTGACTTGTTTACCAATTTAAAAGTCATTACATAAATAAAATAATTAAAAAAATAAATACTAGAGCCTAGAGCCAATCAATTAACGTATGTGTCTACACTACAACAAAATTGTCATACAAGTGACACACATCCTATATATAATGACACTATATATGTCACTAAAAATTACTTTTATCCATACAATAACTACAATATATGCTGGTATATTATTAAAAAGTGTGGGTATAAACTATAGTGACACACAAAATATGTTGTTAAATCTCATTCAAAATCAACACTAAAATTGTGTGTAACTATATGTCAAATAGACATATACCTACATATATTATACCTATAGTGACACTTTTTATATGTCACTACATGTAACATTTCTTGTAGTGCTAACCTATTTATTATTTTATTTTTAAATTAAAATGGTAAGCTATTACGGAAAAACAATAAATTAACTTAACATGTGTGAACTTGTAATTAGGCCTAGAACATGCTATATATATATATATATATATATATATATATATATATATATCACCATCCCTTTATTTGGAAATTTTAATTTTCTTATTATTTATACATTTCTAAATATAATTATCATGTAGTAATATCTTAAGCTTTACAATTATTGGATGGAAACACAATTTTTTTTTCTTTTGTAACTAAAAAACAACACATTATAAATTAATGATATATTAATAACATTTTAAATTGATTAAAAAATAAATTCATGCATCGCAGATATTATCAATCTAGTATATTTAAAATAAACTAACTCCATATAAAATCTTTGGACAATTTTATTAAATGGCCCTTGGATTGGCCGCAATCCACTTGTAACACTGTCCAGACCAAATAAGAGAAGCTGCATTGGAGATAAAATATGACCACGGGTTTCACTCTCTAATTTTGAGAGAATGAACAAGTGTAACTTTTGCTTTGCATACTATTGTTTCTCTTCTTAAGATTTTCTTTGGTTTTTATCCTATGTATCAACACCTTCCATGCAAAAGCCACAAAGTTTGATGGGACAAGGATGCTCCAAAAAAAAACAAAAGTAGTATCATCTTCTCTAGTGATGGCTGCAAAACAGTATACACAAGTAATCACCTTTGTTGATTTGTTTCTACATTATTCTATCCTCATATCATTGATAAAAACATTGTATTGATTTCCTGCATATTCTATGCATTTTTCCCCACTCAAATCACACCCTTCTCCACCTTAATGGCTTAATTCCCAAACTCAAACTCCCTCCCACCTTTCCATTTTTTGCTCGCAAGGTATGTCCTCAAATTTTACTCATTATTTTTTAATCTTTTATGATTTTAACAATATGTGATGAAGTTCTTGAAAGTACTTAATTAATCATTGATCATCAAACTTGGTTTTGTATTTATTTTTTGATCGAGGATTTTTACTGGATTTATGTGGTGGCAATAATAGATGAATTGGAAGCATTATGGATTTGGTTTGTTGAATTCTTTATAGGACTGACTTGTTTACCAATTTAAAAGTCATTACATAAATAAAATAATTAAAAAAATAAATACTAGAGCCTAGAGCCAATCAATTAACGTATGTGTCTACACTACAACAAAATTGTCATACAAGTGACACACATCCTATATATAATGACACTATATATGTCACTAAAAATTACTTTTATCCATACAATAACTACAATATATGCTGGTATATTATTAAAAAGTGTGGGTATAAACTATAGTGACACACAAAATATGTTGTTAAATCTCATTCAAAATCAACAATATAATAATTCTTTATTTTTATCGATCAAAATTATAAAGAGAACTATAATTCAAATTTAAAATTATATGCATATTTCCCTAAATATTTTACCATTAGGTCATCCCTAATTATTCATATACAATAATTTTAATTTCGTATTAAAAATTTTGAAGTTGTGCATAACACTTATTTCGTGATAACGAAATATCAATATAGGGTGGTTAAACACCGGATGAAAGTGATGGTGTAGCCCACTGTAGTGGTGTCATCAGTCAACAGTCTTATGTTGATGTTGAGGAACAAAGATGCCTATAACAGATTGCAACTAACAAAAATGGTGGGAAAAAAAAAAAAAAGTGGATTGCAACAAACAAAAAGTGTGGGGAAGACCCAAAACTTTAAACTCACATATATACAAGAATAAAAAATTCTTTAAGTTATCAGCGTAGGTTGGTCAAATGTCAGATTATAATGATGGCATGGCTTACCCATAGCTTCATCATTAGTTAAAGCTTCTTGAGTTGATTAGGGAAATAAATATTGACTCCAAAAAAATGGATTCAAATAAGAAATTTTAAACTAAACAATGAAGAAGCGAGTAGAAAAGTTAGTATGTTAATGTCTAGTTATTAAAAAATGGATGAACAATATTTTAAGACAGCAACATGATAATAGAGTAAAGAGAATATCAAATTCAATAAGATACAGGTAAAAAGTATTTTTGAGTAAACGCAGAACTAAAACGTAACACTAGAAGATATTTTAAAAATTGTGTCGTTCGCATTTTTTTACTGATCATGTTTAAAAAGTTTACGTTGAATCCAATGATGTGTTACACTTACACATTATATATACTAATAATTTAGTAATTAAAATTTAAACAAATATTATATTTAAATATATAAATTTTGAATAAATATATTTTTTAAAATATATAAATTATATTTTAGATTTATAATAAATAATTGATATTATAATACAAGATTATTTTTATTTATTGATAATTTATTTTTAAAACTTTAAAATTTAATTTATAAATAATTATAATAAATAAAAATTGAATTATATAAGAAATTAAAAAAAGGCAAAAATATTTTGTCTCTTATGTTATTTATTAGATTCAATTTAATCTCACTTTAATTAATTGAATCAATTTAATCCTATATCTTTAAAATTAAAATGTATCTTAATGTTTAATTTTTTTGTCTCCTCCGTTTAAATACTTTAACAGATGTGATACGTGTCATACTGTCATATTACGTGTCATGTTATCATGTCACGTGACATAACACGTGTCATAATAATATGACACGTGTCATGACAGTATAATACATGTCACATTAATAAAAGAGACAGAAAATCAAACTTTGAAATACATTTTAAAGATGTAAAACTAAATTAATTCAAAAAATTGACGTAGGACTAAATTGATGCTAATAAATAATATAAGAGACAAAAAATATATTTTTACCTTAAAAAATATTTAAAAACTAAAAAAAAAATCTTAATTATGTTCTTATACAGAATAGACATACAAATTTAATGTATAAAAACTGATAAGTTTACATGTAATGAATTTAATAACACTAGGCTGTTTAATTTAGAATAATTTTTTAAATATGTTATTAGTGCAGTATATTCACTAATTTAGACGAAGATTAATTTCTATCAAGAAACTGATCGACCTGTAGAATCTAACCCTTCAATTTCTTAAGACATCTGAACCAGTCCCATTCGGATTCACAAATTGGTGATTAGAAGTGCCTTTTGGAGAGACAAATGTGGGGAGACAGAAGATTGAAAGAAAATCTCATTACCTAATATGAAGATGATGATGAAAGAAAAATTGTACTTACCTGCATTATTGCATGGTACATGTGCATGTACATAGGAACGGTTGATAATGATAGCCAAAGTATACTAAAATGGGAGCAATAACTCTACTCTTAGACTGACCTTAGAATTTGATCCATGACAAACCAAAGCTGTACCACAAAGCAGAATTTGATCCATATGATTCAGCTAGAAGGGTGTCCATAACACAAACAGTTTGTACATGCGACAATGTCAAATTGTTTAACAAAGCAAAGGCCTGAACATTGAACAATAAGCACTTGAACCATCATCACCAGATGGCAAACTTTCTCAAAATTTTCCCCCAAATAAATGTCCACTAAACAGACAAATGTTGCATATACCAAAATAACATCAACCATAATAACCTGGCAAATTGTTACATTCATTGCTGCAAGTGCAAAAGAGAATGAGGACCAAACCAGACCAGACCAGACCAAACCGAACCGGCAAGCTTGGGTGTTTACACGTAAAGAAACAATGCTGCTTGGATATGATGACAACACAAACCATAATGTAAATCTGCAAGCCTTCTTAATTGTCAAATAATCTGAGCCATATGCTTCTATATTATCTCACCAGATGAATCAAATTCTAAAGAAGTAACTCACTATTTTGCTCAATGCTCTGCTGCAATGGATTCTTGTGCCAAGGAGGTTTGAAGATTCTCTTCAACTGCTACATCACCATTCACATGAGATTCTTCTTCACTTGGCTTGTCTGAAGGAACCACATTAAGAGGCATAGCATCACTTATCTCAATGGACAAGGTACCTTTCTTTTCATTTGCAACAATCTCAGATTTATTTGCATTGGATAAGTTGGTATCTTTTTTGGCAGCACTAGATAAGGAAGACTTTTTATCTTTGATGGCCTTTGATGAAGATAAACTGTTCTTTTCAGAAACCAGTCGAGTAGGAAGCGATCTTCGTTGTGGCTTCTTTTGATGAATGGGAGGAGCAGGTCCCTTGGTGGGGTTACTCTCTGACACTTTCTCATCCAGACTTAAACGAGCTAGTCGTGAACTGCTGCTTGTGTTTCCATCTGACTCTGAATTTGCTGAATCCTTCTTACGACCAAGCTTGGGTGATTTGGCTCTTGTAGTTGGTATCTGCATTAGTAACATAAATAAGCTAAAGATGCTTGATTTCCTAAATGCCAAGACCAAACTTCCATTATCAAGAAAGACCCTTTTAGTTATACTAAATTTTTTTAAAATTTAATGCAATCCAAAAGTGTCAAGAGTGTGGTTGGTTGGGTGAACATTAACAAAAATGATTCAAGATAAAATTGATTTTTGAAGTGAAGTGATTTATGTTTGGATAAGTTAGAAATAAAACTTGGTATAAAACTTTTTCCAATGCAAAATTAATTTTAGACCAAGAATCAATTTCTCAAAATGAAACCAATCTACGTGAACATTTACCTAAAATCACATTAACTATATTTCAAAAACATAGTAACCCATTCAAGAAAAATTGGAAGTGTACAGAACCTATATGAAGAACTTTTGAATTGGATGGACCTACTTTGAAAACTTGTTAAAACCATATATAAAGCAATTTAGCCTTATCAAAACAAAATCGAGTATAGGATCAACGGTCCAGATAACAGAAAAATAATTTAAAAAATGACTAAAACTATCCTTGCTCACAATCTCAATATGATATGTTTAATAAGCAAAGCAAGGAAGATAAACAATTCAATGAGTGACAGAAAACTGAGGTTTTGGCATCACTATATAGTTAATTAATTATAAAAAGGCTTGGCTAAGTTGAACTTTTGGTTCCTTTATTTTGGTAGATCTGTAATTTTAATCCTTTATTTTAAAATAAAGGCATTTAGTCCCCTTATTTTCAAAAATACAGAATTTTGATCATACCATCAATATAATGTTGTTTGATCTTAAAATTTTAATATTATTAAAAAATAACATACAAAAGATCTTCATTTATATTTATTTATGAGTGATTGGTATTTATTTAATAAAAATCTTATTTGCATGTTTTTTAGATTTTTTTATTTCTAAATGTCTTGTTACTTAATGTCATATCGCTTAAGTATGAGCAAACATTAAAACTTAATGTCAATTTGCCAGACCAAAATTCTATATTTTTAAAATTAAAGGGACGAAATGTCTCTATTTTGCAGATTGATGAAAATACAGAAAAAAAAATTGCGGATCGATAAAAATAAAGAAACTAAAAGTGCAATTTAGCCAAAAGCCTTTTGTATAATTATGCAACACCGAAGTAATTTACTTTAAATACACTAATAGTATAAAAGATTTATACATTGTCATTTAATCACAAAATCAACTCTTATTAAATGCGAACAACTATCTTGTACAAAAATGTTTTTAAGAAATATTCTTAGACAGGAGCATTTTGAGGGATTCTTTAAACTTCCTATCTAATTCTATTTTTTATTAATCATATTTATTTATAAATTAAATTTTAATATTTTAAAATAAATTATTAATAATTAAAAATAATCTTGTGCTACAATATAAATTATTTATCTTAAATTTAAAATATAATTTATATATTTAAATATAATATTTATTTATATATAATTTATTATAAATTTTAATTATATATAAAAAAACATTTAGCATAGACTAAAATACTAGTGTTATCTATAACATATACAAATCTATATCTATAATCTATAATATCTATAATCTATAATATCTATAATCTATAATACATATAAAGGCGATCTAATCTGATTTGGTGTACATATTTTTTAGATGATTTTACCTTTAAATTTTTAAAAGATAAAAAATAATATTAAAAATTAATTACCCTTACAAACATAAGACTCAAACCTGAAATCTTAAAGTTAGAAGACTAAGCACAACACCCGTAGATCTAACAGACGTTGATAATTTTTAAACACTTATTAAATAAAATATAAAAACATGAAATACCTCAACCCTATTAGTGTATGATAATATTAGTGACTTTCCTAGTAACTACTTTAAAAGTAGTACGATATTTCTAATTAGTTGACCATAAAAATTTTAATAGTGACAGTACATGAAAAATTACCCTCATTCAAATATTCGATGATACAGAGCACATAATGCAAAACATGCACACCACTTACGGTCAACAAATTGAGTAACCACACTGAAACATCTGCTGGAAATTATAAAAATTCTTCAAGTGACATCAATTAATCAGTTTAGATGTAGTCAACTTATTCAACAAGTCATCTAGGACACCAAATTAATAATAGAACATTTACAATCAAATAAAACAATTTAAAATCTGATGGCTTAGTTTGAAATATTATATATGTTTAAAACAAATCCTGTAATCTTAAAGAGTGCATATATGTTTAAATCATTAACTCATTGAAATATAAATATTACTACCGGAAATTGATGGAAAAAGGTTATTGCATAAAATGAAGCCATGTCCTAAATGTAGAACATAGCTTTTGCAAAATAACTTTCAGATTTTCCAATATATGTAGTATTTATTGTGCGATATCCCAACAAATAATGGTTCAAAAATCTTTGAAAATGGAATTTTTATTAGCAAAGCTGAAATTATAGAAAAAATCTCCAAATAGGCTAGACTGAAAATATATCATTCTACTTTTATATCCAATATACTTTATGCATTAGACAATCTATGGGAATAAGTTATAAGTATATCCAAATAATTAGTGAAGATAAAATGTTTCATAATCACAGAAGTATAAGAACGCACAACAAACTGAACTAGACAGACAGAGAAATGGGAACAGTGAGAAGAAAGTTTCCGTATTCAAACAGTGTTCTTTACTGATTATTTTTAGAAGATTATTGTATGTTTTATCTCTCTTCAGTCCCCATGCAATATGTATGGTTTCATCTGTGTGTTTGTGTATTTACATAGCAGCACATGCATACAAACACATACACTACATATGATAAGCAAACAAAAATCACCTAACGATATTTAGTGCAGACTGAAGAGTACACAAGAAGCCATGCATGCAAGTAACAAGAGACATGCATGAATGCACACGCGCGTACATACACATGCAGAGAGAAAGAGAGAGGGGGAAACCTTCTTTAGCTCCACCTTAGGAGGAGGAGGCTCCTGGTAAAAACTTGGCATTGGTGTTGCTTTAAATGTTAGACTCTTCCTAAGCATCTTAATCTCAGCTTCTTGGCTCTCCTGTAAGAGGTGGTGAATGATTGACATGAACAAAAGATAAATTCTCAACGCAATTTTAGCCCTGATATCAAGTACTCTCACCTTGGTTTTTGCTTGCAAGTTACTCTTCTCCACCTCCTTTGCTTGAATCCTTTCCTCAAGCTTATTGTAGAACTGCTCACCAAAATATTAATGCAAAATTTTTAACTACAAGCTAATTCAAAAGAAACCTGGGCAATGACAAAGTAAGAGGAAATATGTGCTAATTATTTACCTCTCTTCTTCTCTCAGCTCGTTCACCACACTTAAAACTGAATCCATAATTTGGAAGTGTCCCCATTTTTCGAGGTTTGGCATCTTCTGTGTTTGTACTTCTAAGTGGATTAAGATTAAACCACATTATACATAGCATCACACTCAATAATAAATTAAAATAATAAAGAGATCTGGTAGTTCCAGATTTTCACTCACTAGGAGGAATTCACAAACCCAAAAAAGGATACAAGGAAGATTCTGCTTCTCCTTGAACTTTATCAAGGGGTCCTTTTTTCAGTGATTTTGGTTTTGTCTTCTCCCTGTATCCAACACATCACAAACCACCAGTTAAATAATAAAATGATCTATCTTTCTAGTAATGAAACACCAAGAAGAAATATAAGCACTACATACACAGATACTTCAGAATTTGCTGCATCAGACTTTGAAGGGTGCTGTGAAAAATAAAGAGCAAAAATTATAAAGGAATGCCAAAACTATAAACTATTTTGTCCAAAGCAGATAAAAGAAGAAACAAAAGAAACACATTTATCCAAGATCCTAAGTAAAAAATTGGGAAAGCAAGAAAAGGGAACAAAAAAGTTTACCTTTGATAATTGTGTCTGCCTGTCGTTGAATGATCTGCTTTTAATAGACTGTCTTGGGTGAGAATCTGAAGCCGAAGTACCATTTGAAACAGAAGATGCTTCTTTATCTTTTCCAGTTTTGCTCTTGTTTGCCAAACTTGCACGAACACCACCAGAACTTGTAGCCTTTGCATTCTTATTCTTGAAAAGACCCTTTTGTGCTCTTGATTGCTTATTTTGATCTGTTATTTTCACCTCCTCTTCCTAGAATTGAGCAAAAATGAGATTCACGTAATATAAATGATGTAAAGTCATGTACCAAAAGCAACTCAAGCAAGACAAAATCCTCTAACCTTAGGATTGGTAGTATTATTGCCATCAATGATGTCATTTGATTCTTCGATTTCTGAAACCAACGAGTTATCAGTTGCAGCACTTTCAAACTGATGGAAATTATCAAAAATTCCATTTAGAGCTACGGTTTCTTCAGTTTCGGCAACACTGGAGTCTAAATCATATGAAACACAACCATCCCCTCCAGAATTAGATGGTTCATCATGAACACCATTTTGGTGGACCACTTCAACCCCATCATCAGCAGGTAAAAGGTTAATTGGATCCATCACTCAGACTAACCTACAAGTTACATATAACCGAAGAGCTGTGACTTAGAAATGCTTATACTAAGAAGACAACAAGAAACAAATTTAAAATACATCCTTAACAAGAACAAGTTTAACCATTCCTCTGATGTTTATATAAAAATTTAAGTTACTTCCCTTATAGGGACGCCAATTTTTTTTCTTTTCCTTTTCCATCATCCAAAGAACAAATAGAGATTACAATATTTCAAAACACAATTCATCAGGCATCCTTTGGATGTAATGGCAACTTACCCACTTGAATAATGAAAACAGAGTGAGATAACAATATAGAAGACATGTCAGGTCGTATCATAAGTTATTTACCATTCAAATTGGAGTAAGCATCAAAACGCAATCTTCGAAATTCACAAGTTTCAGTTAAAATTTTCCTTTTTCCTCGGCTAAGAAAGTTTAAGTAAAATATGATAATGACATAAACATCCCATTTCAAAATTCATGGCACTAATTAATCAGTAATCAATAACCATGATGTAGGGAGATTTAGTTTTATAATCCAATCTCCTCCGGGTTGCTAGTGCACAAAGAAAAATTGGGGCAGGATTTTGATTTTCAACGACACAAAAAAGGGGGGAAAGACAATATAGTCAAGATTCACATAATTGAGAGCGAGAACCCTAATTCAAAGCCTCCGCTACATTTGCCTAGCAGCAGTTATCAACAAGTATTAAAGTTCTTGGTAATGCAAAACCAAATCAACAATACATAATTAAAGACTGAAATTGCAACTGGGGGTTTAGCCAAATCATCGTGACAATGAACAATGCCCAGATTCCCAATCCCCAGAATTGATCTCAGGCCAAACTCATGCCACAGAATAACCCAATGAGAACCAAAGTTCAACTTTTGATACAGAACATTCACAACACAACAAACAATCAAACAAATCACAAATAACCAAAACAATCTCACTTAGCATTTCACAATGAACCACAAGTCACGAACAGAACCCAGAAACAAAAATCAGATTTTTAATTCATTTAAGTCCCCAGTGAGTGAAAATTCCACGTTACCTGGTAAAGGGGTAGTCAAAAAGTCATGAGTGAAGCAAACAGCGAGTTGAAGTACAGGAAACAAAGAGATCTAAAACCTAAACCCCGGAAAGAAAAGGGACCCAGAATGAGGATTGGGTAAAGGATCACGATTGAAGGATCGACAAACAGCAACAAGATCCGGAAGATTGAAAGTGTGGGTATTGGTTATTGCTCAGAGAAAGAAGAGAAGGGACACAGGAGAGAGAAAGAGAAAGGGAAGTCTTATAGGAAGAAGATTGAAGGTGAAGTCGCTCTCTCTTACTGGAAATGGCGAGTGAGAGAGTGAATGGGTCACACAGACAAAGAGACACAGAGACAGGGTCAGACTATACGGTTTTTTTTAATGTAAATAATTAATAATTAAATAAATAAATAAAACCAATAACAACGTTGATCTATCTACAGATTTTACGGTTTCTCCCAAAATACCACTACCAATATGCGGTTAAATAAGATTAATTTACTATTGTACTCTTCTTTTTAAAATTATTTAATGTAAATGGAATTATTTATATTTTTTTAGATAATTTATTATAGTGTTATATTATTAGTGTCACATGTAATATTATTTTTTAAAACTTATCTAAAAATAGTCACAATAGGCTAATTTTATTTGTACCGAGTTGTACATATTATAGTGTCTAAATTTTTTTTTTAAAAAAAGTAATAATTAATTAAAGTCACTGTACACTATAATAATTATAATTAATTAATTTTTTTAAAAAAATTAATTAATTTAAACGTTTAGCATATAACATTTTTAAAAAAATTAAATTTATTTAATAATTTTTAAAACTAACATAAATTGTTGAAAAAATAAATTGATTTTTGAATTGAATTATTTATTATAAGAAATAAAATTATAATATATATATATATATATAATTGTAAATATAAATATAATAAAGTAAATAATTTTATTTTATTTTTAACAAATATAAATTTATTTTTCATTTTTTATTTTTTTTTTATAATAAATTAATATTTTTATTTTAATTTATAAATTTATTTCTTTTATTTTTCAGGTTTATTTTAACAATTTTTGTTCACTTTTTTTTTATTTTGTTATTCATTTTTTTTCTTTTGCATTCTTTTGCTTCACTTTTTTTTTTTCTTTTGAATTTTTTTACACATTTTTATTTTCTAATTTTTTCATTTTTTCCACTTTGTTTTTCTTCTGTGATTCACCTTTTTTTTCATTTTTTAACAGCTTTTTTCAGTTTTTTAAAAGTTTTTCTTTATAAAATAGATTTTTTTAGTGTTAACTACTTTTTTATTTATTTTATAAAATACTACTCATTTATTTTTTGTTGATTGAACTATTTTCGGTTATGTTTTAAAAATCTTATTTTTTTAAAATAATTAAATATTTTAAATGATGAATTCTTAAAATAAATATATTTAAAAATTCATATTTTTTCTTTCAATTTTACGTTTTTTTTTGTTAATTTTTTTTTAATCAGCGAAATATCATGGCCCATAAAAACATTCTAATTCGCTATAATCCATAGTGACATCTTTTTCTTTTCTCTAGATTTAATTTAACTACTTTTTTTATTTTGTAATTCATTTTTTTCTTTTTTATTTTTGTACATTTTTTCCTTCATTTATTTTTTTTCTTTTTCATTTTTTATTTTCTTTTTCAAATTATTTTAACAATTTTTTTCATTTTTTATTTTGTAATTCATTTCTTTTTCATTTTTACATTTTTTTTCCTTCACTTATTTTTTCTTTTTCATTTTTTACATATTTTATATTTTTCTGATTTTTTTAACTTTGTTTTTCTTCTGTGACTCACCTTTTTTTCATTTTTTTAATGGCTTTTTCTAGAGCTTTTTTTGCCAATTTTTTAAAAAGCTTTTCTTTATAATATTAGATTTTTTAATGTTTATTATATTTATTTAATAAAATACTACTCATTTAGTTTTATTGTCTGAACTATTTTGGGTTATTTTTAAAAAGTTTATTTTTAAATTATTAAAATATTTTAAATGATCAACTCTTAAAATAAATATATTTCAAAAATTTATTTTTAAATATTTTAAAAAATGAGTTATTTGAGAAGTTGAAGTAGCCGATAGCAACACTAAAAAAGCCACTACAACTGGTAGCGACACTACTTAATTCGTTACAGCTGGTCATCACCTCTACATGCCGTTTTCAAAAAAAAAGTTACACATGACATAGTAACACTATAGTAAACAATTTCAAAGGTGTGAATAATTTCAAAAGAGTGTCGTTCACGTAAATAATTTTAAAAATAATTCTACAATAATCAATAATCAACGTTAATTAACCATAACTCTTCATTCAATTTTCTTTTTTAGTTATATTTTTACTCATTTTATTTATACAAACTTTTTTTTATCTCAAAGGAAAAAATGGAGAAGAAAATAAATAATGACATATTTCTTCATTTATTTTTAGAAAATACGACAATGAATGTAATTTATATAAATAAATATTTATATTAATTTTAATTTCTATTTATTATAATAATATTAATGATATGAAGTATTTATGGTTAAAAATAGTAAATAATTTACCGGAAATTATGAAAATATACAATGTGACTTTTTTAAGCGGTCGCTATAATAGAAATTATTTCTATTTTTAATTGTTTTTTCTTGTTTTTTAGACTATTGATTTTTCCTTTTTAAAATTTATTCAAGACAAAAAAAATATATAAAGTAAAATATTTAATAGATTGAAGTAATTGAAACAAACACTTATTTTTCGTTTTAGGGATTAAAAAATATTCATTTGAAATTGTTAAATTGCTGAATGTTGTTATATAGAGATTTTTTCTTTTTTGAGTTCTTATGTTGTTGGTATCAAATATTCACTAACTTAAAAGTATTATTAGATAGTTTAGTTTGTTTTAGATTGAAAGTTCATATCTCTTAGATCATATATACAAAATTTTGTATTAATCCAAGATGATTTGATTCTTCATTTTTATAAAACAAAATTGGCGTAACATATTCATTTCAAAATACACTAAAATATGAATACTTTGATTATCTTCAAGTTGTTGTTCAATTTTAACAAAATTTGATATACACGTATAAAGTGATATGAACTTTCAATCTAACGGTTGGATTTACAAAATTCACAATTAATATAAAGTTATTAAGTGATGTAATACTTAGTAAAAGTTACACCGATGTAATTATAACCCATATATATATATATATA